CGATAAAAAGGACAACCAGAGGAGAATGGCGCACAGCTTTGAAAGCGTCTTGTAAGCATATGTTACCGGCGGTCCGGAGCTGCTACCGGATATGGGTATATACGACGGAAATTCTAGGACGGTGGTTCAGTTGCCTATCAGAGAAAAAGTTTTTAAGGTTAAAAGCGTAAGAAGATTCCGTTCAGCTCATAGAATGGTTTCTACAGGACTACTGTTACTACCTTCGCCACTGGGAGAGGAAAACACGGACTGAGGGACCGACATAAATGAGAAACACGGAATTATGTGATGGAGATCTCTTTGAGCAACATAAGACTTGTGCACTAAAGTTCGGATAAGATATAGAGTTCAATACTTCCACCGTTTAGGTAGTCATAGAAAATTGACTCAGTTTTCAGACATTGTTGATAGAGGTTGAACCTACCAAGTCACAATTCGATATCGCCTTTTGAAACGATTTGACTCATCCATTTTATTTGAAACCTCCAGCGAAGGTGTAGGAAGTGCAGAGTCAATCTACTTGACGCCATATTTCAACACTTGTGAAAGGTTTTCCTACAACTGCTAAGAAAACCAAAGTCGTGATCACTTTTTTGCGGTATTTGGCAATAATCGCGGCCGTTGGTTAAAAATATCAGTTGCCATGTCACAGTTGGTGAAGTATCTGCCACCACTAGTATGTTTCATTGCTCGCAATTGTAAACGCAGAGTTGATGTTTTTGGAGGACATATCAGAACTGACAGTTCAGTTGCTCCAAAGTCGCAAACATAGAACACCCCATAAAAATCTGGCCATCTACTCTTAGAGCGGACAGGCGCTCTTATTGAAACTTGTGAGAAACTCCAAGTTGCTAATTTTAAGAAAAAAATGGTTGGAGGCGATGCGATAAAAGGTTTTTCCACAAGGGCAGGTCGATATTGAAACAATAATAACAATAAAAATTATTTGGATATTAACGAAGCTATTTAATGTTCAAATGGTTGCCATTGCTTTGCATGGCCACGGTGGTCCAAAAGGTCCAATTGTCGATAACTCTGCAACATAAGCTCAGCTGAATGTGGATCGTGGCACAAGCTTGCTAATGTAGGTGCCTCAAAAAGTAATTTGCTGTGGATTATCCAACCGGTAACGTCGTTTGTCCATGCTTATTAGAACACAACGTTGGCAATGCTATCACCATCTATGGCAAACGCTGCAGGTAAATGATAAGCAATTTCTTTTGACTCCAATTAGATCACACACAAAGTGGTATGTGCCATACATCCAACGTCATAAAAAGCATTCTGCTGTTTTGAATGTATATTTCCTTATAAGGTTGACTGGCAGCATACTTCTATATTAACTATACTATACTAACCGACCAATATTAGTCGAGCGAGTTTTCAAGTCAGTATTGATATAAATATCAGGAACACTATTCAACTGCAGTTTAGATTCGATTCAAGTTAGTTGGTTCCGATCTTAGCAATATATATGTTTGTATCAATAAACCTATAACGGCCAGAAACCAAAACAGCGATTCTATCCGATTGATGATAATTTCCTATTACATTGTTATGAGCGTTAGTGATCCGACATAACAGAAGAATTCAATCAGTGTCATGTGCTTGCCGGAGAATCGCATTAGGAATAATAAATGCCAAGGCCCACATATTCGATTAGCACTAAGCTCCTTTTTTCGATCTGAGAGAGAGAACTCATTAATCAACTTGTACTTATTTCTTTCTGAGCTTTCCACGTTTCCCATTTCCACATTCTCACCTCAGCACAGCTGCCGGCACGTCTGTCCAGAGCCGGCTTCAGAGTTTTTTGTTATGACCTGCGGTAAAGGATGAAATTTGCGCCCTCCCTCTCCACATCAACTGAGAACAAGAGTCAATGCAGTATTTAAAATCGGGTAGCTCACTGAGCCCGCTTCGGGTGGAGGGGGGGTGCTATTTATTATGTTGCATCAGCGCAATGCCCTTGTGAGGAGACGTTATAGCAGACCGCAGGTCACGTACAACACATGGCCTACCGAGACGCTGATGAGTCGGGCCACGCGGAGGTTAGGGTTTAGTGGGTATTAGGTGGTCTCCTCAAGACAACCTGGAATCTCACACACGCCGTAGCTCGGGCTATGGTATGGTGCGTAAACGCATTCCCCCCTCACCAAAAAAAAAAATGCCCTTGTGATAACTGAAGAGCAGGGGATAGGTTTGGCGGTGACCGATCAGTCTCGATTTGTTCAGTGGGGGTAGAGATGATCGATATATCGGTACCGGCGACCTTTCCCGGTGACTTGAATGGTAGCCGTTAGTCCCGGCGACCTGCTTCTCCATGAAGCAGCGACCCAGATCGCTGTTTGGAAGTATCGATATCGGTAACCACTGATCGGTAGCTGTAATGCTGTTTCGGTCGCGGTCGCTGCCAGGAAGCATATATACATCACGATCATCGCGCGGAAAGTACAGGGTCGCTACAGCGTAGCCTAACCTATTTTGTTAGTTTTTTTTGTTATTGTTGTGAGTTGCAAGCACCTTATAAATATGTCAAAGCGCCAAAAGATTAGTGATATTTGGAATTTTTTCAGTAAGTGATAAAGTAAATAACTATGCAGAATGTAATGTATGTAAAAAAAGAATTTCTTTCAAAACGACAAACTCAAACATGAGGAAACATTTAAAAACCAACCACCCAACAGTTCAGCTTCTGAGCACGAGGAAAGGAACCGAGCAATCTACGATGGACTGTGTTAGTGATCAAACTGATCACGATTATATTGCACCTTCTACGTCGACGTCTTCTAGTTCTTCGACTAGAAATATTTGCAAACCTGCTTTAGCGAAAAAAAGTATCACGAATCAAATAAAGATATCAAGTTTTATTGCAAACAAATTAGGTGTAAGTGCAAAGTTATAACAGAAAAACTTTTAGAAATGTTTTACAATGACTTTCAGCCAGAAGTTTTGTAGAATCCTTGAATCCTGCATACGAGATTCCGAACAGGCAAACCATTTGAAAATCGCTCATTCCAGCAAAATATGAAGAATGCCTTCATCGATGCAGAGAAATAATGGATGGTGCGAAATATGTATGTATAACGACTGACAATTGGACGTCAGAAAATAATGACAGCTTTTTAGACGTCACAGCGCACTTTATCAGTGAAAATTTTGAAATGCAATCTGTCTTGTTGGATTGCAAAGAGTCACAAAGTCAACACACAAGTGTAAATTTGGCTCGTTCCCTGAAAGGAATTATTACAGATTGGAATCTACAGTCCAAGATTATCCTAGCTGTGTCAGATAATGCTCCAAACATCAAAGGTGCCATTTCTAAGGAGGCTTGGATGTTTTGCGCACTCATTAAATTTAGTAGTTTCCAATGCCTTGGCCGTAAATGACAATATAATGGAATTGATAAATAAAGTAAAAGTTGTTGTAGTACATTTAAAGCACAGTGCGTTATCAACTGAAAAGTTGATGACTCAACAAAAAAATTCTGGAAAGGAACCACTTAAATTGCTGCAGGATATTAAAACTAGATGGAATTCGACATATTATATGTTGAAGAGATTTGTTGACCTAAAAGATGACCTGAAAAGTACCATAGCAGTGCTGGACAAGGACCTGCCAGTGCTAAGGCAAGAAGAGTGGGAGATATGTGACCAGTTATGTCGAATACTAAAGCCTTTTGAAGGTGCCACTAAGACAATTAGTGGCGAGAAATATGCAACTGCTTCTTTGGTTATACCTTTAGTTAATGGTTTAAAATCAGTTTGTCTAAAACTGACTAAAAAAGACTTTCATCCAGATGTAATCCAAGTGGTTTTAAAATTAAATTCTGGTCTGTTCGACAGATTTGAATCTGTGGAACGTAGTAACACCCTTACTGCTTGCACATTTTTAGATCCCAGATTTAAAATGCTTGTATTTGATAATGAACAACTAAGCAGTAATGTCAAAAAAAATATTATTGGCATGGTTACAGCAAAATTTTTGGAAAAACAAACTTGAAATAGAGGCGAGGAAACTGTAAATAATAACCAACGTAGTGATAGTGAGTCAGAAGATGAATTATCCGTTTGGGGGTCCTTTAAAAAAACTGTCTCTTCAAGTACTAAGTCCAAAGCAACGGCTTCCTCTCAAGCGATAATTGAGGTCCAGCGACATTTAGAAGAAGATTTACTACCCCGTAATGAAGATCCTTGTAAGTGGTGGAGAGATTTTAACCACTACTTCCCAGTTTTAAGTGAGGTGCTCCGTGAAAAATTTTGTGCTCTAGCTACCTCAGTGCCGTGCGAGAGGTTATTTTCGAAGGCAGGCTTGATCATCAGCGAAAGACGGAGTCGATTAAAAGCACATAAAGCTCGAATGTTGGTTTTTTCAAACGCTAATGCGAACTTCGCAAAAAATTACGTTAGCAAAGATTAAGATTATAAGAAAATCATTATTGTCATGTATTATATTTGTTATGTTTTAAAACTTCTATTTCAACTCGTAGAATAATCTCATGTGTTGTTTTACTTTTTCTGAACTATACAAAAATACTTAATTTACTTATTTAGTAATGATTATAATCACGATTTTATATTTTGTTTTATTTGTTCTGTTTCAATGCTTTTATTTTGACGGGCAAAATAATCTTATGTTTCGTATAACTATTCCTGTTTCATAGAAAAATCTTTCGTTTATTAAGCAATGTTTAAAATATAAAGGAAGCATTTTTATACTACATTTGTTATGTTTTAAAAGTTTTATTTTGACTGGTAAGATAGTATTTTGTTTTACTTTTTAAGATTCATATAAAGATATTTTATGTGTTTTTATGATTTTATGTGTTTTGTGCTCAATATTGTTAAAAACGAAAACCTTAAATATAGTTTAATTCAAATCTTCAGGAACCTGAACATCTGCACCTCGTTAATATCAATGGATAATCGCCGCCAAATATCGAGTAATTTAATCAGCGCCAGGGAGTCGATGGCTGCTGGCAGCGACCATAGACAAGCAGCGACCTAAAGCGCTGCTAAATCTACCGGCGACTTTAAGGTCGCTGTCGCCGATATCCCGGCGACTTGCAAGTCGCTGCTAAGATCATCTCTAAGTGGGGGAGTCATGCCCTGAGGCAGCTGCCTCACTTGCTTACCGCTTGTGCCCGGCCCTGCGTCTGTCCATAAAATCAATATACAGGCTATACCAATATTCTGTGGACATAATCTATGTACTACATGATTTACTACTATGCAAAAGTGCTTTGTTTATTCGTTAGAGGGAGTCAAAGTGTTCTTTTTAAAACATCCTTTCAGATATTCTTCGAACCGAAACTCTGACTTGAATGAAATTTGGAACAGATGTTCTCTCTCTCTCTCTCTGCAGGGTTCGAGAAGGGTGAAAATCACCCCCACTTTATTTTTTGTCTCATAAAAAAACAGGCCATCTCGGACAGTTTTTGAGAAAAAAAATTGCATCAAGCGTCTTATTGATTAAAGCATAGCGAATATAGAATATTTTAATTTTATTTAATACAGGGGGTAGAGCGAGTCTTTTATAAGAGGGGTGCAGTATAACTACCATTTTTATTCCTGCACATAACAATACGGCGCACAAAATTATACTTAACTTTCTCTAAGATGTCATTTTTTTTTCTGCAGTGACCTTCAGAAAAACTAGATGCCTACTAGGTTTTAGCACTTGAATTAATGAGAATTTCTTTTAGAGCCGAGAATTAAGTAAATAAAATGATCTGAACAAAAAAAACTGGGATAGGAGAGTTGTAAAAAAACTATACAATAATTTTTTGTAGGGGTAGGGGTAGTTTTCACCCCTCTCGAACCCGGCTAGCAAATGTGTTTCAAATTTAATTCAAATCGACCTATCGGTTCCAAATGAATTTTAAAAATGTGTTTTGAAATTGAAACTTTGACTTCCTCTAACGGACAAACGAATTATTATAGTATTTTCGCTGCTTAAGATTGGGTAAGACTTTTGATCAACGGTTTTCGAGTTACAGGGTGATTTTTATTTATTTTGTGGCACCAGGACATGAAGGATCCATGCAGCCAGTCTTTTATTGTAAAATTAATTACAGATAATGCATATTACCTATAATTAGGTAAGTGAGCAGCTTAATGGCGAAGTTTAGCTATAACAGCTACTCTTACACTTAACCATTTACTGAATAAAATAATAGGTGGTTGGAAAGTACAGTAAATGAATTAAAAGGAGGAAAATGCGCATAAAACTGATCACAACCTAAACAAATGTTAGCGTAAAAATATGATACTGAAGAAAAACACCTTTAAACAGCACCATTGAGCCGAAGAGCTTTTACATAAATTCTAAAACTATATAGAGGCAGCTTTTTTGTTTTATAATTTAGCGTTTATCTGGGTTCTTTTGGGTGTGGATTAAAACACTCGATTCCACAAAAAGAAACGCATTAATCTATTTAAAACGCAACACAGCTAACTTTAACTTGATTAGATAGAACATTTATGTACACCACTATTTATGTCTGACTATTTATTTACGAATTATTATGTCGCGCTGTTCACTCAACACCACTCTACTCTGCTTTCCTCTCGCGGCCGTCGACTTATACTAAGTGACATATACATCCGAACACCCAGTTTAAATGGTTTTACTTTAATAAAATTTTGTATAAGTACTTAATGAAGCATAATAAGTAAATGATAAAAATTTCAAAATGATTGCACTGCTTTAAAGCCCTTTGACCTTTAATAATGTGTGGATGCACCCTGATGTGCTACGCATTCTCCAACGCGCCTAGGCATGCCGCTGATCAGGTGGTCAATGTTCTCCTGTGGTATCTCATTCCAGGCAACCACCAACTCCTCTCGAAGTGCTTCTAGAGTCTGAGGAGGACGTTGCAAATTGAGCAATCTCCTACCAATCATATCCCACACGTGCTCAATTGGGGACAAGTCGGGAGATCTTGGTGGCCATGGTAACAATGTGACATCATTATGTTGAAAGAAGTCTATTGTGACTCTTGCAACATGTGGTCGGGCATTATCTTGTTGGAAAGTTGGATCTGCCAGGGTGCCAAGATAGGGTAAAAGATGGGGTTCTAGAACTTCGTGGATATAACGCTGCGCGTTCACGTTGCTGGAGATTATAGGTGACCTGGAACTATAAGCTATAGCACCCCAAACCATAACTCCAACAGTGTGATGAACATGTCTTTCAACAAAAAACTGTGGATTCCTCCTTTCACCACGTCGCCTTCTAACACTGGCACGACCATCGTGCATGCCTAAACAAAATCGAGACTCGTCACTAAAGACAATACTGTTCCATTCCTGATCCCAGAGTGACCGTTGTCTGCACCACTCAAGGCGATTACGTCGGTGTTCTCGAGTTAAAGGGAGGACCCAGTGTGGCCGGTATGAAAACAAGCCAGAACTTCTCATTCGTCGGTAAACACTTCGCATGCCAATATGTCTTCCGTGTTCTGCAAACCATTCATTTGCAATGGACCTGGTAGTGGAGAAACGGTCCCTTAAGGCCAATAATCTTAGGCGGCGATCTTCACGGTCTGTTGTTCTACGGCGGCGTCCAGTGCCCCTAGCTCTTTGCGTACGGCCTTCTCGAAGCCATGCCTGACAACACCTAACCACAGTGTCTACACTTCTCTGCACTCTAACTGCAGTTGTAAGAAAATAAAGTCCAGCTTCCCGAAGTCCCACTATTCGGCCCCTATCAAACTCACTAAGTTGACGAAATCGTACAGGTCTTCGTACTCTAGGCATCGTAACCGATCGTAAAGGATGTCAAGAACCAAAATCCGCCAACGTTGATTCTTTACTGCGGCTGAAATATTCATTTTTAGAGCGTTAGTGAATTAAAAAAAGCAGTATAAAAACCGGAATGTCCAACTGATAAGGCTGAACATTTTTTCACTTGTTATTTACAGTAAGATAAATACATTCACCAACTTTTATTAAAATAAAACCATTTAAACTGGGTGTTCGGATTTATATGTCACTTAGTATATATAGTCCGTATCGCACGTGAGCCACATAGCGGCAGTCCAGAATCTTCAAGGTCATTTCGCGTCGATCTCGAAAGGAGAGTCTCTGGCGCGGTCCCCAACAGATAGCGCCAACAGTACTGTTCATTCTTGTTACAACAATATAAGCTATTGTACAACATGCATGCATTATATTAGGAGGACCGGTTAAAAAGAGATGAACCATGAAGGGGATTGTTAACAAGTTCGCTGTCTACTCAGACTGGATTAACTGTTTCCAGTAGCCAAATACTTTTTTTACCAATCAGACTAATATTGGTATATGTAATCATTTTTAGTTATTTATATTGGTATCGAATTTGAAAAAGGTGTATATTGGTAGAGAAAAAAAAATTGCCCCCGATCGGAGCCGGCGGCATTGAAGCCAGGACATGGCACATGGCAAAGATCACCGATTGGCTCCGATCAGAGTCATCGGCAACGTGTTAAAGAGGATGTGTTACAGAAAGGTGGTTGATCCAACCTATTAAAGGGTAAAAACTCGAAACATGGTAAAATTTTCTTAAACTAAATATAAACCGTATGCAGTTATTTTGTACAACAGATATGCTGTTACGACTCGTAACATCTAAACAAGGATAGTAAACTAGATTGCAATAATTAAAAATTGATAACACAAAAAATCCACAATTTTTTTGCACTTTAAAATTCAGCAAATTTTTGTGCGCATTCAGGGTCCTTAGACAGATATAAGTTCTTTGTAAAAGGTTATTTGAATGTTCACGGAGTCGCACGTTTCCATTAGTTAACACACCTAGGCACTTGACACTTTCAAAAAAATGAGGATTCTGATTACCAATACATATACTTAAAGAAGCATTGACTTCAGTTCTTCTGTGGTTTAGACAAAACGGCACAGCAGAATACTTAGAAGCATTAATGGTAGTTTGTTATTGACTGAGTAGGTGCAAATAGAGTCAATGTCCTCGTTAATTTCCATAATAGCAGTCTGGAGGTTCTCAGGATAAAGGAAGTAAAGCAGTTGAGTGTCATGGCTGGCATGACTGGCATCATAATATGGCTGTAGCTGTGAATTCTGAATGGAGAATATCGGCTACGTAAATTGAAAATAACAAATGGCGTAAAATTGAGCCCTGCGGCACACCAAAAGTAATAAAGTGCTCATTTGACAAAACTACAGAAACTGGGACGCGCTGAGGCCGGCAGGTTAGGTATGGTTTCAAAAACTGCAGCGCTATTTTATCAAAACCATAAAATTTAAGCTTGGCATACATTAGTGCGTGATCAATTCTATCAAAGGTCTTGGAGAAATCCAGTGGTACTAAGGCGACACACATTTTTCTATCAAGGGTCCTGATGATGTTGTCCACTAAATAAAGAAGATCTGTTGTAGTGCTGTATGACTTTCTAGACCCATACTGATGTACTGGGAGTATCTCACTTGATTCCAAAGAATCTAATATTTGCAAGTAAATGATTTTCTCCAAGATCTTTGACAAAACGCTCAACAGACTGGTGGGCCTAAGATCCGAGAAATCGGTATTGGCCTTACTACTGCTCGTCTCCAAGATTTAGGAAAGTAGCGCTTCTCTAAACACAGATTGATATGAGTCAAGTAAGGTAGTATAATAGGAAGATATAGCTTAATCATTAAAATAGGTATATCGTCAATACCTTTTGCATTTGACTTAAGTCCACTCACAACAGTTTTGATAGTGCTAGGCTCAACCAGAGTGAAATAAAATTTCCGATTACCGAACTTCTTATTATAATAAAAAATAAATGCTGCTTCGTCTGACTGAGCAGAATGAAACACTGATGCAAAATAATCATATATAGCGTTTGGGTCATTGAGGTGAGAGGGAATGCTTTCAGTTATTGTCTTGGAATTACGCCCATCGATATTTAAGCTATTTATTAAGTTCTCCAAAGTTCTTTCGACATATGATGTTCTTGCAAGAATGATAGGTAAACCGCATTTTCGCGCCTAATCACGTTCTTTCAGAATAAATTTTAACGGAAAGGTCAACCAAGAGGCCCGACGTTTATTGAATCTCACCGTTGTAAGCGGCCCGTGGATATCAAATACGTTAAGAATGTTCCTTGTAAGGAAATCAACAATTGAACTTAAATCATCACAAAGTCCGTTCTCGTCAAAGTTTTTAAAATCTCCAAAAGTGATGAAAATTTGCTTAGTTTTCTTGACAGCAATATCCAGCGAGCAACAAACAAGTCGATGGTCGGAAATTTCCCCAGCATCCAAAACCATTGTGATCGTAAAAACTTCTTTAGTATTCGAAAAAACTGCACCAATCAGAGTGGCTGATGTTTCCGTGATACGAGTGGGTTCTTTAACGATTTGACAAAAACCATAACACGAAAAACTTTTATTAAGACTATTGTCAGCATTAGATAAATCTGAGTTGATGTCACCTAATGTTAAAACGTTATCATAGTGATAGACGCACAAAGGCAGGACGGAATCCCATACGTTAGCAAAATCGTCAAAAGACTTAGACGGAGGTCTGTAAATGACTCTAATGCAACATTTTTCTTTAAGAAGAATAACCTCTAACCAGATGCTCTTATCTATATCAAAGTCAAGAAGTCTTACCTAATACATAGATTTAATATAAACGCCAATGCCACCTCCTCGTCCTTCTCTATCCCTGCGATAAAAATTATACTATGGAACTTTAACAACTCCAGTAGGTATATTGCTAGTCAACCATGTTTTGGTCACCGCGAAAAAGTCGTACTCTTGTTCAGTTAATATATCCACAAAATCAGAAAAACTAGACAGGATAGAACGAACGTTAAGGTGACCAAATGTCCCTTTAGATTCCCATCCATACTTGTTCCTGAATTGTTGAACCTTGACTGGAAAAAATGGACAGACAGACTTGTTGCAGAATGTTCAGTCGAGAATAAAGATTTTTTAACATTTGAACACTTTACATTTTCCACTGCCTCTTATTTGAAAATTCTTAAATGTGATACACCAATCATATTAGGATCATGCTCGTAGATAAGATGCACAATGTCAATGACACTAGAGAATTGCGATATAACGGTTACTTGTGCTAATCTAAAGTTATGTTGGAGTTTATTGAGCATCGTAGTTGATTTTAGATTTAAGAGTATTTGTGATTTTGAAGAAAGGAGCATGAATTCATATCATTGGCAGAGTGGTGTATTTCAAATTTAGTTCTGACTTTCTCATTATGCTTGGAGCAGTGTATGCATTTTAGTGTATCATTTGTACATTCGTTTAGACGGTGATTACCACTACCTAATATATTCGGCATTTAAAAATATGATCTAAGGTTGCAGGTGTGTTACATCGTTCGCAGGTATCCATGCCAATTATACAGTATTCAGTCATGCTGACAGTGCAGATTAACAGCCATGTCCAAACCTCAGTCTTCTGTAAGTGGAGACATGATTTCTACCAGCACATAGACTTTTAAACAGTTGTTTGGATGGAATCGTGTTTTGCACTCACTGTACTGTTCTGCGATTTGAAACATATTATTTTCAAGAATCACACCACATCTTCCAGATATACTTTTTCATAACGAGTTACAGGGTGATCAGGCTTGATAAAAACCGAAAAATATTGGCTTACTACAGACACCAACAGGATTTTATGATTTGTTTAACCGTTGGTTAGAATCTTGATAGCTCCTATAATGCCGATTTATCCCATCTACTAGATGTCCGCCGGTTTTCAGACGTATTGCTGACAGACTTTAGCATTTCACATCTACAAGGGTTGTTTAAAGAATAGGGTTCCCAATAATATGACTTTACCGCGCGTGACGCTAGGCGAAATCTTGCAACACCGTCATGTTTGTCGGCTCCCCCACCACTGATCCCAGCAAGAAGCGTCTATTGGAGACGGTCAGTACCGGCCTGACAGACATACAGAGTGCAGTCATCCGATTTTTGCACGCAAAAACGTTACCAGTCATAGAAATTCATAGCCAGTTGAGGGAAATATATGGGAAGTATGTATAAGCATTCAGCACGTCCTCAGATGGTGAAAAAAGTCGGCCGCATGGACATCCGAAATGAACAACGAAGCGGGAGGCTGTCGATCTTCGAGAAAGTTGTGGGGGAGATTGAGCAAATCTTATGCGAAAATTGGCGAATCACGGTCCGGAAACAGGCGTCTGAAATTCCCGAGGCTTCTGAAGAAGCTGCGACGGGCAATCCAAAATCGTCGTAGGGAAAAACTATCCAAAGCGTAAGACTGTACCACGAAAATGCGTTTCATCATGTCTCACAACCAACGAAAGACTGAATCAAGCGATTTGGCTGGGAAGTCATTGTCCATCACACGTACAGCCCTGACATAGCTTTTCCGAAATTGAAGGAGCACCTAGGCGGTCAACGGTTCGAGATGCACGAGGAGTTGGAAGGGGCAGTTACCAGGTTTCCAAGCGGGCTGGCGGCAGATTTCCTTGATACAGGACTATAAAGGTGGACTCCACGTCTAAAAAAATTCATAGGAAAATGGCGACTGTGTAGAAAAATATCTTAAAGATACGTTTTCAATGGTAATTTTTTCAAATAAAAAATTCCTTGTGTCTGAAAAAATGTGGGAACCCTATTTTTGAGATAACTTCTGTATACTATTTTAATAACAAGTCTCTAGGGGTAAGAGGTTTGAGTGTGGATAGTTTCCGAATGCGCAAGTCGTCGAAAAATTGATGGAAAATCATTCCCGGTCAAATTGGCTGGAGTCTTAGTACGAGTATGTTATTCTCCATCTCAGTTTGATCAAAAGCCTTTATGAACAGAAGGTTCTGATATCGATTCTATTCGAGTTACTGGATGCGCAAGTGCACGTGAGTCGAAAACGTAATTAATAACTACTGTTTACTGAATGTTTGCCAGTTTTAACTACATTATTTGATTTTCTTAAGAAAGGTGGGTGTGGAAACTGGTTCCCTGTCAAATTGTAACTAACCTAATATAGCAAAAAGCATGGACCAAATATACCAGGTATTTCAAGTTCGACTCTCACCACTGAGATCTCGGAAACGGTAAGAGATACGAAGTCGGTTAATGGAGCAAAGTTGCGCATTTATGTAGGTAATTAAGTAAAACCGACTTTTCGAGTATTTCCGGAGATAGACGAAAAAAAAATTTCCCAAAAATCATTCTTATTTCTTCCCAGCTTTATTTGAGATAGAATTTTAAAATAATGAGCGTATTACCTCCTCTACAAGATGGCGTAATTCGAACTTGTAATTAGCCTCTCGTGCTCGATCAACTTTATTATTTCAAAAAGATGATTGAGAGAGATGATGATGAGAAGATGTAATATATCATAGATTGACTTAGACATACCAAAGTTATTTCAAAAAAAACTAATATCCTCATAGTTGTTTTTGAAAATGATAGTTCATCATATGTTTATCTAATTAAATCAGTAATTCAGTGTTTGAGGATTTGTAGAATATAACAATCGCTATATTAGCTATATTAGCACGGACGCTCTACCCGATACCTCAGGCATAGATTAACAGTATTTGAATGCAGATGCGTGCAACGGTTCAAATATAGCAGATATAAATTGTGTTTAGGGAGCTTCTACATTGTCGAGGATTTTGTCCTCCCCCAAAATGTTTCCATCAGTTACACAAAATAATATAATATAAAACAGTTTTAGAACTGGGTTGTTCTTTATTCGTCCGTTAAGACCAACTAGAAGGTTATTTTTTAGACATTTGAGGTTTTATAATATCAATACATTTCATGAGGAAGGTACATTATGTGCTACGCAATTAGTTGTCTTTTTTATTCTCTCCGTATATTATGTCGATAAAAATTCAAGTTACATCGAGCTGAAAGTAGCTATCTACGTCAAAGGCATCGTTATCTAGAGACACGGTATTTATATAAATGAAGAGTTCAAAGCAAATAAGACATTAACAAGATCCTCAGCCCTGGGGTTTTGAATGAGGCCGTTTGTCCGCTAATGAATACATTAACCCCGAAATACAAAGAGAAAATAAATTGCCCGCTCTACAAGCCTTTTACAGAACAATAGCCCACACTTCGTAGCTAAAAGGGGGTGCATGCATAACACAACTTATTTTATAATTTGATTATAAAAGGTGTGTTTAAGTTGGGAAGCTATACCTATAGCCCCTGCTCACATGGTCAGTATCTCGAAGATGCAAAAACATATTGAATACACTGGCATGCATGGCGACATTAAAACAGGTAATCAAAAGTCAGCAGAGCAATCCGATCATATTTTTGTCGAAATTAGCTCATAAGACCCGCCCACAGACAAAATATACTAAGTGACATATAAATCCGAACACCCAGTTTAAATGGTTTTATTTTAATAAAATTTTGTATAAGTACTTAATGAAGCATAATAAGTAAATGATAAAAATTTCAAAATGATTGCACTGCCCTTTGACCTTTAATAATGTGTGGATGCACCCTGATGTGCTACGCATTCTCCAACGCGCCTAGGCATGCTTCTGATCAGGTGGTCAATGTCCTCCTGTGGTATCTCATTCCAGGCAACCACCAACTCCTCTCGAAGTGCTTCTAGAGTCTGAGGAGGACGTTGCAAATTGAGCAATCTCCTTCCCATCATATCCCACACGTGCTTAATTGGGGATAAGTCGGGAGATCTTGGTGGCCATGGTAACAATGTGACATCATTATGTTGAAAGAAGTCTATTGTGACTCTTGCAATACGTGGTCGGGCATTATCTTGTTGGAAAGTTGGATCTGCCAGGGTGTCAAGATAGGGTAAAAGATGGGGTTCTAGAACTTCGTGGATATAACCCTGCGCGTTCATGTTACCTCTGATGAAGATTAAAGGTGACCTGAAACCATAAGCTATAGCACCCCAAACCATAACTCGAACAGTGTGATGAACATGTCTTTCAACAAAAAACTGTGGATTCCTCCTTTCACCACGTCGCCTTCTAACCCTGGCACGACCATCGTGTATGCCTAAACAAAATCACAGAGTGACCGTTGTCTGCACCACTCAAGGCGATTACGTCGGTGTTCTCGAGTTAAAGGGAGGACCCAGTGTGGCCGGTATGAAAACAAGCCAAAACTTCTCATTCGTCGGTAAACACTTCGCATGCCAATAGGTCTTCCGTGTTCTGCAAACCATTAATTTGCAATTGACCTGGTAGTGGAGAAACGGTCCCTTAAGGCCAATAATCTTAGGCGGCGATCTTCACGGTCTGTTGTTCTACGGCGGCGTCCAGTGCCCCTTGCTCTTTGCGTACGGCCTTCTCGAAGCCATACCTGACAACACCTAACCACAGTGTCTACACTTCTTTGCACTCTAACTGCAATTGCCCGGAAAGAAAGTCCAGCTTCCCGAAGACCCACTATACGGCCCCTATCAAACTCACTAAGTTGACGAAATCGTACAGGTCTCCGTACTCTAGGCATCGTAACCGATCGTAAAGGATGTCAAGAACCAAAATCCGCCAACGTTGATTCTTTACTGCGGCTGAAATATTCATTTTTAGAGCGTTAGTGAATTAAAAAAAAGCAGTATAAAAACCGGAATGTCCAACTGATAAGGCTGAAAGTTTTTTCACTTGTTATTTACAGTAAGATAAATACATTCACCAACTTTTATTAAAACAAAACCATTTAAACTGGGTGTTCG